TTAAAATAACACTTTATATGTACTTTTACAGGAAATTCTTTATCCAACACTATATTTTGTTTCATTTCTTTAATGTAATTAACATGGGTTCCTATTCCATCCAATATCATAACAACTTCAAACATTTTCACCTTATTAGCAGATACAAAACATTATATATCAAACTAAATTTATCTTGACAATACTAAGTGCTAATCACAAAAGAATTCTGAACTCTATCTTCACATTATTACCATCCAAGCTTTCATTTTCTTTTTGCTCTTTCCTTTTCATTAAATATAGTTTTTTAACTGTTCAATGTACAGTCCTATGTTTATTGTCTGTAATTCTCTTACATACTACTTTCAAAATCTTAGTCATTCTTAAACTTTTATGAAACAGTCACAGATTTAATAATGCAGTAAAATGAAATGACCCTCAATGCGAATCAATAAATTTGTCAATCATAATAACTTGCAATGGCAGTAATTACAGACTTAATAAGTCAAGAGAGTATAAAGAGCTACTGAACAAATCATAAAATGTGATGTGATAATTTTGCTTCATGGTGGTAGTACTTACATTACAGAAACATCCTGCTAGACTACACTGTAGTATAATTTATATAAAAACTGATTCAAAGATATTATATACACACACATCAATGTAGACTTACAAACCAGGAGCAAAACCGGAAAAATTAGAAACATTTTATATTTCTACAGAAATTAGTCCAAAACAAGCATAAACATAGATGTATAAGGAATTTTGAAGCTGTGAATCCAGGTAACAAACAGAGGGTTGCTTAAAACTAAAGAAGCACAGGTTGGGATTCTTCACAATTTGTTTACCTAAAGCCAAGAAGACTTACTTTAATGTGTGCCTAAATATTTAAATCCACAAAAAAAGGGATTAGTTTGAGCTAAGCTATGTGAAAACTAGCATTTTTGCTCACTCGATGCCAACAGCTGAAAGTTAACATTTTCCTTATCTGAAAATATATTTCAGATTGATACTCACCTCTACATAAAACAGACAGCTAAAACCTCACAGCATAGCCAAGAAGCTTTTGCACCTGCACCAAGCCTTTGAATGATGGTGGAGGAACCATCATAGATAAATTTAAAAAATTAGCTCCATTCTGAGAATAAAGCAACAGAAAAGGAAACTTAATTAGAATGACACCTACTATGGAAGGTGGGGACATAGTGGGAGTATCATTTGGTGGAAAATTATATCCATGTTAAGCAGGGAATAATCTTTGCCCAATACAATGATGTGGAGAGATTGTTCTGCAAGAGACCAAACACTGAAAATCGTGAAGGTATCCAGAACTGAATTTAAAATTTTCCAAATATGGAAAGTAACAACTAGACTTTATTGTGGTGAGCCCAAAACTGGAACTCGAGAATAAGAAAGCAGAGAACATGACAGTGAGTACAACTGAAGTTAAAGAATAAATGTCATATACCCGAGCAAAGGGTAACGGTAGTTTTTACCTGTTCCTTGTCAGGAATAAAAGAATCAGTGGGAAGAGCTAGTTAAAGATATCCAAAGCCAAAGCAAGCTCAGAAGAAGTTATATAAGAGCAAGAGGTCACGAGTCCTAGGTCAAAAATGAAGAATGTAGGATAAAACCAATCACATGATACATAATGGTGATCACATTAATCAGCATCAAAATGGTCTGGACCTGAGAGATTTTTGGAAACATGAATGAGAAATCGTATTCATGAAACTTAATTCATGAAAAGTATTATATCTATATATATATTTAGTAGGTCTGGTATGTCCTAATACTTTGGCCTTGGTCATTTTTCATACTGACAAAATTGTTATTAAATACCAAATTGCATCACAGAATTGCACGGTGTAGGTGTGGGAGTTTTATTCAAAGTCTTGGCACATGTGCAAACACATTTTTGCAGTGGTGCAAGATATTAGCTATCTGTACCATGGAGGTGAGTAGCATTTCTAAAACTGTCATTTTTATTTGTTTGTTTACTCACATGCACAAATATGTGGTGCACTCAATCAAAAAGTGTAAAATAATTGCAAAAAAATAAATGTATACTTTTACTAAAAAGTATTAGTCCATTTTGAGTTTGAAGTGGTTTAGATATAAATTAAGAAGACTGCTATAAAACTTCAGAACAATAAGCATTCATTGTAGTTTCATATTAACAGTTTGCATGAGATTCAACAACAAATTCTATCATATTCAACATATTAGACAGACTTATTACCTTAAGCGAATTGTTGTTGTTTTTTTTGTTGTTTTTGGGTAGGAGGGGGTCTGGATATTATTACCAGTGGAGATGTAAATATGATATCCTAAAATTCCTGCTAGAACATACTTTTGCTTTAAACCTTTTTTAGAACTTCCTTCCTTTATCTTTGGTGTTTTTAAGATTTTAAAATGTGTTTGTAGCTCTCTAACAATCTATGTACCACTAAATTCCATAAGTACAAACATACTAATTAAAATCTAAAAATATGGTTATTATAAAAATATAATCTCAGAAACATAATTAAAAAGTACAAGTTTTCTGAGAGTTCACTTCTCTTACAAAAATCACTCCTGTAAATTTAAAAAAAGTAGCTTCACAGTGCCAATCAAATGATTGTTGAAAAAAAAGGAATGGAATGCTATGTGTATTTAAAACTTTATTTGCTTTTATACTTTTCACATTTTCTTTTGAAAACATTTTACTTTCTCCTTAAATTATATTATTTAGAACTAATTTTAAATTTCTATTTTTTTCATTATAATTTGAACACCTGTCATATGAGCAAATTGGGTAACCTTTTGTACTAGGGATAGAATCACCAAAAAATTGATGTTGCAATTCAATAGCAGAAATTATACTAAATGAATATACCAATTATAAGGATTTTGCAGCTTTTATAGAACAAAATATCAAGTATAGAAGAAAATGTAACTGAATAAAGGTAGATGAATCAATAAATATTAGCTATGTATAAGTAATAATAGATAACTAGCACTGCAATTGTAAAAAGCCTCATTTTAAATGCATTTACGAGATACTGTGTCAAGCTAAAATATCAGACAGTCTATTGGGTTTTGATATCAATTTTACAAAAATGGCAAACTTTGTCATTTTGTAGTTAAGCACACAATGGAGCTAATAACACCCTTCTCTGGACAGAATGCAGCACAAGTAATGATTGTATTTCAATTACATTTTTCTTTAACTTGTTACAAGATATGATTTCTTTGGTTTCTCTGCTATCTTTCACAATTTGCTTTTCTATATTAATAACTGTTCTGCATCATTGGGTAAAATAATAGAGCATATTTTCTTTAGGTAATTACATGACTTGCTTTATCAACAGAATTAAAGGATTCACTTTCACATAATTTTCAACTTGGTAAATTTCTCATTAAAGAAAAATTTTCTGAAACATCCCTGATATAATATACATTTTTACATTCTTAAATGACATATTCAATTTCTTTGTCATGGTCACTATCTCCAGTTAAGGCCAAACATCATTATCAATAAAACCCATATATTCATTTTCATCATTGATATTCACAATATTTTCATTGTAACTTTGCCTTGGTTGTTTTCTTCCACCAGTTGGTTTATTATTAATACTTGTCAGTACAATTTTTGGCTACTTCCCCACATCTCTGACCCAATTCTGCATAAATTTATAATCCATTATATTCACCACCACAAAAAGAGCATGATAAGCATTTTGAACATCCAGACTTTTACATTTGGAAGATAGAAGTTCAGTTTTGAACAAGAATCACAATATTTTCAACAGTCCTTGAAGTAGTTGTTAGCAATTTTAATCCATTGATTTAGAGCAGTCACTGGGTCACTGAAGCTAAAAATTGGCTAAATCTTTTTTTGGACAATCATATTGCCCAAAAAAGAAACAAAAAATAAGCTATTTCCACAATGGATAATTGTTTTCTGATCAACATGAGCTTACCCAATTTGCAGATACAGGCAGTGTTAAAAATGAATACTGAGCTTTATATTCATTCATCATGGGCAAAGTCTGGCATTCAAATTATATTTTATTCAGTTATTATGTATATTGTGTTGATAGACTGTGCATATAGCTTATCTATAACATCTAAATGTTTGCTTTTGACACAACAATTCATGTCAGTCATGTATGATATATGAAATTACACAAAATACAAGGCCAAACTTGTCAAAGCAAATAAGCAGAAATGTGCCAAAATGCAATTAAAAAAAAACTCTTACTTTATTAGAAAAGTTTCCTAATGCAGAACCCAGTGAAAATGTATGTAGTTCAGAACAGTTATATGTAAGCTGAGATCACTTTCAGAGACAGATCAATAACAGTCATCCATTAGTCTATGAGAGACTATAAGCACAGAAGAGTAGAAAAACTAAGAAAGAATAAAATCAAGAGTATTAGTTCTTAGAGGATATCTCGAAACAGACTGAAGGAACATGTAAAATGATATAAGGCAAGAATGGTCATTTGAACAAACTCAAAAATACAAAAACATATGGAAAAACTTAGTTCCTAGAAGCACAAAATTCACTGATGCATGCACTCAAAGAAAATGAGAGGATAAAAAAAGAAGAGAGAGAAAGAAATATGGTGTTACCAATTTAAGGTTTTCACCAATAAAATAGATACCTCACCAAGAAGCATGCTTGCACTAACACACAACTAAGAAAATTAGCTCCCACAAATAATGTTTAATAAATTTACTTACAAAATTATGGATCTATATAAAATCTCAACAAATTCTTCATAGATCTCGATACAGAAGAGTTAGGCATTTCAACCTATCACTATTGTTAACATTATAACTCACAAATAGCTTTCAAAATATTGTCATGGAGACAAAAAAATCTAAGGTGAATTAGGGAAAGATAACTTTCATCAAAATGAAGCAGAAATCAATAATGTCATTAACGTTACACGAGTAATCAAAATGAAAAAAAATAGAGATAGCCTACACTGAATATATACAATATAAAATGTACAGCTATAACCTACCGTCTTTCCTGGTCTTGCCCACGTGCATACATAACCTTCTTGGCATGCTGTCACAGCACAATCCTCCCTAAATACTAAGTCTGTCAATCGTTCATGAGCAATTTTTTTACACACAAGTGGTTCTAACATTGGCACTTCATCAAGGCATGGACAGATAGTTGTTCCAATCAATCTGACAGGGTCATCCAAAACTTTACTGTGAGTTGACTTATTCAAACTATTTTTATCACTACTACGTGATGAAAGACTGAAATTCCTTTTATGTTCTTTGTCTTGTTTTTTTCTTTTTCTAAAGTACCACTTTTACTGACAAGATTTAGAGGTAAAACTAAGTTACCATCTGCCACAGAGGTATCCTTAGCTATACAATTTGCCTGAGCATGACCAACACTGTTGCACTTTGTAACAGATGGGAGCTGCATGGAGGGATTATTCAACACTACACTAGTTCGTGTCCGTCCCATTGGTTGTTTTAAAACATCTTCAGTCAAATCCCAAAGACAAAATTGAGTGTCTTGTCCAACAGACCCAAACCTGTAAGAAGTGATAGTTAATGAACGCATATCTACAGAACTTCTATTGCACGTAGCTAGTGAAGTTCGATAAGCACCTGACACTGCTGCATTTGACTTCGAATTATTTGGGATTCCTAGTTTTGAAGTATCATTTTGCTCTGCTGAAGCTATTAATTGTGACAGGTCTTCTTCACTTCCAAAGTCAATACTATCTGCATAGGATATGTTGTGAGTGTCAAATGCCACAACATTCACCCAGGATTTGTGTCCATAACCCCGGGCAACCACCCGCTTCTCAAGAAAAGACCACACAGTTACTAAATCATCTTCACCTCCTGTGACAACATATTTGCTATCTGGACTCCAACATACACATAACAACCCTCCAAAGTAGCTACGAACCAATCCAACAAGATCCATCGTGTCATAGTTAAACACACGAAGAAATCCATCTTGACTCACAGTTGCTAGGTATTTGGAGCAAGGTGAAAATGCAAATTGATTTAAGGAGCCTTCTCCCACAACCCACCTATACAAGGGATTTCTTGTACTTTTTGTCTTACAGGTATACACAGCAAAGCTTTCTCCTTGTTTAAACATTTGGTAATGTGGAGGTGTAGTTCCACATGGTAAATCATCCTTATAAACATACATCTGTCCACTACTATGAGAAACCAAGAAAAGATTTGGAGAATCTGGCACCCACTTTAAGCAAGTTACTTTTGTTTTGTCAATTAACCTCTGAAAAAAAAAGTAATCAAAACACATTGGTTTATTTATTGTAAAACCATACAAAAGTTAAACTTCAACATCCTGTACTAAAAATGTTATCACTACAGTCTTTAAACATTATAATTAAAAACAGTTTTTCACTTTAAGTATTATAGTCTAATAAACTATAACAACATACAATACTAATCTGTAAAGATATATACAAATTTTTAATTAACAAGTCCACAAAATTATTTTGTGGCTCATATATATTGTACGACCCTACATTTTAGAAACAAATCAAATGTCCTCAGGTTTTGACAACAGAATTTAAGGATAATAGATGAAAACCTAGGATTTAGAAGACCTGTATACAATACTTCCTGAAATGTCTTTAACTCATGGGTTTCCACCTTCTCAGCACAAGGCCCCAACCCCCATCCATCCAATGAACCTATAAATACTGAATAATTTAAGAGTATTGTGCATTTGCTACACCCTCACTAAAACACTTTCCTGCAGCTCCACTTTGGGAAACCCTGCTTTAACTCATGATGGCCCAGAGATGAGCTGCATGTAGATGTAACACATAAGCTTAGTGTATTATTGGACAAATCTAAATGACTTGTCAAAGGATTTTCTGGGTTTCAGCACTTCAAAGGATTTCAAAGATTAGCAAACTAGTATACTATCAATTTATCCTTTTACACTGTACTTTCATGTCTTATTTCCATACAGTATTACAAATAATAAAATATCATGATACTTCAAAGTTAATGCTTTAATCTTACATCTCATGCTATGCAAAAATAGTTTCTCATAAAACTGTGACTGACACGACCTATTTAATAGCTCAAAGTTCACTAGTTCAAACAACTGATCCTGACAAAAACAAATTTCTTCATTTTAGACAAGATATTTAAGTCCAAAAACTTGTATACATTCATGGCAATTACTGGAAACTGTATAAAACTAATGCATTCAATACAGTTCTATAAGTCTATATTAAACTATAAAATAAAATTATTGATTTAAACCACAGCACAAAAGGGCATTTTTTGATTAAATACCAGTGTCAAACTATAATGTAAACTGTATGGGAACACCTGGAAAATGGCTAAAAAAATAATGCATTTACTGTATTATATATGCTTTAGCATATTTTAATAATGATGATTCTTGCAGTAGATACTTTTCTAATTCTTTCATTTTATAAAATGGACATTTCTTCTATTTTCTATTTTAGTAGTCATAAAACAACCCAGACCTGAATGTTATTGAAGAACCTTTAAATGTTGACTCGAATTATTAATGTGAAATATGTAAAGCTTTGTGTCAAAAGCACAGGTGTTTAAAAATGTAATATTGAGGAAAATAATGTCTTGCTTTTCACTTGTTGTTAGGCATTAAAATTCAATATCTTCAAACCTTTTTAGGTCTTACTTTAGACATGTGCACAATGCCAAATTATGAACTTGCTTTTCATACTTGCACTTTATTGATTGCTCACATTACACCTGTGATGAAACAGCTCACTTACTAGTTTGTGAAGTTGAAATAACTTACAGCATCATGAAAATGTTAAATTATCAAAGACAACAGCTACCAATCTGTGCTCATGGTCTGCAGGTTCCCTTCAGGTAGTTCATCTAAAAGTTGCATAATTATAAATATGAAGTGGCAAAAAAGTATATAAAATGTATACCCCATTGTGATACATCCAAGATAAAAAAAATTCAAGTGGTCCACGAACAAAAAAGTTTTAGAACTCCCAATTTAATGTATAACACTTGTATTCTATAGCTATAGTTCAAATCTAAATAAAAGAAATAACGTATATTGTAAGTTGTTGGTTCAGTGTCTCAATGTATGATTTATGTTGTCAGAGGCTGAACTGCTATTAACTGTTTCCTGGTGTCAAGAATGCAATAATAATTATTTTTTAAATCTTATAGTACATTGTATTCTTCCAGTTAAATACCCATAGTCAATGAATTCTAGAAATGCATGGTAAGTTTAATAATCTCACCCCAAACTGCCCTTAGTTTATTCAGAGATGATGGATGAAAGTAAATTGTCCTTTTAGACCAAATGACTTATGTTGGATACTTACAAAATTACTAATAAGCGTACAAATTAAAAATCTATGCTAGAATTGTTCATGCCAATACACCTCTTCCCATTGCACAATGCATAATATGACAAAATTTGTTTTACTACAAATTCACTTTTTGATCAGACCATCAATAAGTAATAGTGGTAACCAAAAATGTAATTTTATAAGCCTTGCTTTAGGAACCAAATTGCTTTTAAGTTGGCAATTAACTTATAAGGCTTCATTTCAACACTAATTTTAGATATCTCATATCATCATTCGTGTGTAAGAACTACAGAATTTCTAGGTAAACTTGATGTGTGCTTGTAGTTGCCAGCTATGTATAATGTCTCAATCTTCAGTATCTTGAAAAGATAGTTATATTATCATTTTAATGTGACCTCAACATTAAATATTATATGTTTATAGTATATTATTAAAAGAAAATAAGTGTTTTTAGCTATATTAATACTTAACAAATCAATATGGTTCAGATTATGTAAAAATGTTTATTCACAGACATAAAAATATTCCACATTTATTACTTTATTTGTCACGCAAAAACAAAGCCACTTATCTATTTTTCACCCAATACCATAGATAATTTTTTTACTTTTTACTTCTTTTAACATCTTATATTATTCTATATACTGAGGTAATTTTTGACAAAAAAAAAATTATTTTTCTTCACTACAAGTTGTCTTTTTCAATAGTTTTTTTTTTACAACAGAAATACAAAGCTTACATTTATTCTCAACATTTTTAAAGATAACACACACAAAAACATATCTTACCACACAACATCTATTTTGATGAATTGAATAGTTTGTGTACACATTTTAATCCTGTAAAAAATAACTGAAAATCTGAGTTTTAAAGTAACTGCAATTTTATTTTTTTTGCTTCCACAGAACACATACACACACTACTTCCTTTAAAAACCAATCTTAAACAGCTATATTAACTCTTTCTTAAGAAATTCACTGCAAAATACTTACTTCTTCATTGTAAAGTTTACTAAGTTCTTTCTTGATAGGATCAATAAGTTGGATCTGACCAGCAGAAAAGCCAACTAACAGAGATGCATTTTCACTAGTTACTGTGTGCAGGTTAAAGTCATGACATGTGGGGTAGGTGCCTTTATAAACACGTTTGTCCACAGGTTTTGTGAGGTCTGCTGCCTACAGATAGAAACAGTACTTCACATCAAAGGTTTTGTTAGTTTGGAAATATAATTATTTTCAATACAGTGATATCAGTTTTACTTTTTTTTTGTTTGATACTTATACAACTCGTTTCTTTGTTCTATAACCAGTCATGATTCTTAACAACATAATATAATCAAAATGCTATTTGCATTTTATGGTCATATTTAGAATTGTGAATATTGTATGCAAGTTTTTATTCCAGCTTTAAGCAAATTAGAACCAAGTTAACATATTGATGACACTCGTAATTTTTAAGCACTTATTATACATGTTAACAGCCAAACTATATAGTGCATTCTGTACTTTTAATCTTGATTTTTCACAATTCTAAACACTGATGAATGCTGGTTACTTACACAAACATTGACACTATTTTTGAAAAAGAGGTGGTTTATTTTATTTGTTTTTTTTTGTAAAAATTCAACAATTTTTGTTTTACTCTTAAGAAAATCTTCTGTTTGGAGCTCTGCACAAGAATATGGGTTCATGAATATGACAGCACCTTAAACCTGTTCACATGTGTATTCACAAGTATTACTACACACCCGTGAAATAACCACCAACTGCATTATTTATAGTAGTCATAGTTGTACATTGCTATCACGATAGGAAGGACTTCTATATATGTTCACTCTGAAGAATCGATTTTGTCAGCTTTCCAGTTAATTTAACAGTATTTTGGTTAAAAACATTATTTTTGATTTAAAAAAAAAATACACCTGAAGCTCATAATTTTGTAATTATTAAGTAATGGTAAAGTATGAATTGGAACAACCATTTTGTGAGATGAATCTTAAAATGTTTTAATCTAACATTATAAAAAATATATCATTAAAATTAATCTAACATTATAAAAAATATCATTAAAATTAATCTAACATTATAAAAAATATCATTAAAATTAATCTAACATTATAAAAACATCATTACAAATTTGCATTTATGTCACAAATTGTACTAAAATATAGTTTTGTAACATTTTCAAAAATAATTTACAGTTATTCAAAAAACTTCACACCTCATAACCACCAAAAAAAAAAATACAAAATAAATCCAAATTACTTTTTTCTAGAATGACTTCAAATTGTAATACGAGACATTTGTTTATCCTAAATAACTTTTAACTCATAACAGTTTATATCTATTTATACTTAAATTTTATTGCCATTTGAACCCTGCCTAACTACTATTCACACAATTATAAGTTGTAAATCACACATCAAATGTGAAGCTCATGTTACCCTTTCAAATTACATTACATATGAACTGCTCGCAAGTGTATCCCATGAAAATTTTTATCATATTATCATTTATTTCACTTAATCTACCCTTAACTAACACAAAAAGTTTCTTATTTTTTACATTTTGATTACTTTAATAAATAAAGAACACACGTGAAAAACAAGAAAAAAGTTCTTACCTAGGTCTTTTTTTTATGTCAACTGTTGATGATATTTAACCCTACTTTTTTATACTAATAGTAGTAATACTGCACTAAATAATTATTTAATTAAATAATACACCAAAGAAAACAGAATAATAATATGTAAAAAGCAGAGTGTGTTCCATAACTATCACTATTTTCCTGCTTTTTAACTATGCAACAAGAGCCGTTAAAACTTCATCTAAGCATGTTGATGTGTTTCCCATGGGAATCAAGCTTGAATTTATGTGAAATTGAAAACTCTCCTTACAGAAAACAATGTAATATAATACATAATTTGATGGATGACAACCTTGGTTTTTCTATTGGTTATAAATAATATAGTATTGATCATCAGAGAGAACTATTGACAATTTCTGAAAGAGAGGATGTGACAGGGGGGCATGGCAAGAGGGGTCTGTCTATTTCATGACTCTGTAACCAAATAGGATTAAAGGCTATGAAAATTATGCTTTGCCTGAGCGATAAAGATATTATAATGAGTAACTTGCATTAAATTTCATATTCCTTGGAGGTGTGATAAATAAATTAAAGAGGGGATGCTTGAAAAGCAAATGTCACAATCCTCACACTAGGGAAAATCATTGATTTTTTTATATTGCCCCATAAAAGTAAGAACTTAAAACTTATTAGGGTTTGATTTTAACAGTCATCTAAGATGACTAAAAACTTCCTCGTATAGCCCACTTAAACCCTTTGTGTTGTCCAATGGATGACTAGCCCCCTGGAACAAAACCTTACTCAAAACAGCAGTGCAGTTTGCTGTCACTTATCCATGCCCACACTACACATGTAATGTTGGCTCTGATCCTTGACCAAAACAGTTTGTAAATTCCCAGTATTCAAGAATTATTTGGACTGAAATAACTTGCAGTATTTGGAATTTTATATTCTTTATTTAATCAGACAACCATAAACTTTTAATATTCATACATTATAAATAAAAGTCAAGAAACATCTCTAGCAAATAGACACTACAGAAAAATTTGGTTAACTATACTAACAGTAGTCACTCTGATAAAGCCCCACTGGTGAAACATATTTAACTCTTATACAACAATAAAAATTGATAATTTATTAACAAATTAGCACTACTTAACAGATTCAATATATAAACTAACTTGGAAAATCAACATTGTACTAGAGTTTCACTGGAATACATTGTAAAAACATCTGCTTTGATTCCCGACACACTGAAATAGTTCCTTTCAACCAACCAAAAAGGTTTAATCTCAGTTTGCCAAAATGTTTCTTTTTTATAATATATTTGATTGATGTAGGAACTTGTTCCAAGAGTTAATTAACATATCATAGTCAGATAAAATCAAGAGATATTATAGTCTTCAATGTTTAAGCTGGAAAGTAAAATGTTTTAGCTTTTGAACTAAAACATTTTTTTAAAATCAAAACAGAATATTAGCTTAATTTGGTTACCACAGTTTGGGGGCATTAATTATTCTTCTTACCTTCATTGTTAAGCAGTTATTGTATAATAAATCTTCTCTGTCTAATAAATTTGGGTCTGATACATTCAAATATTCAGTGCTTAACAGTATAAACCTACTAATATTTGCTATAGAAGTTATATTTCAATTATTAGATCTAAGCCATTTTTTTGTAAATTTCCAAGATTAACGGAACAAATCAATTATGTTAAATATTATAGAACTTCTACATTTGATTACATTCCAACATCATACAATTAGCAATAATCTAGCTTAAATAAAGGATAAACCTGATTAAACCATGTTGCTACCCTAGTTCTTTAAGCGATTGGAAGGTTAGAACCTATGTCCAGAAGAAATTTGACATTCTGCTTCTCTACACCTCTTTACTGTGTTATTTCCTCAGCACATGGATTTGAAAAACAGAAGTCATAAATTCATTTAATGTTCTCATTAAGAAGCATTTAAAGCTGTTTACTTTTCAATATAATACACTTCACAAATTAACAGTAGAGACTATAGCATCAAGTATACTTTGATAACTATGCAAAGGACTTGCTTGTTTTGTATAAGCCTGTGATGTGAAGCTATAAACAACAAAATATGAAAGTTCATATAAATTATTTTATACCTAAAATTACATCTTACAAATTTAATGTACTAATTAAACCCATACATGTTTTTAAACTAATTTTCACTTTCAATTTAAGCAGTTAATGAGCACCTGACTATACTTGTTGGCAGTAATCAAGTGGAGTGAGACTGGACATTAACCTTGTCATTACAGGCTTGGTAGAACCCACTCAGCTCATAACCACAACAGTATCCATGAGAGTAATTATACTATGACTTCTTATAATGTATGCACATCTTTACAAAATTTTGCAGGTTATTGGTAAACATTACAAGGTTTCTGTACACAAAATATCAGGTTTTTAAATTAAGTATTAAGACTTTTTAATTAAAGATTTTCTCGTAAACCTTTTTCTTTCAGAATGTTTACTATCCAACATGCAAAGAAATTTTGATTTTAAGATTAGAAACACTTTAATGCATTAGAAAATTTTCAAATTTCACGTGCGAAATCTTTATAATCTCCAGATAATTATCAAATTTTTTTATAAAAACTTTATATTTTATTTTCACTACTGTATTTCTGTATGGGTTTGTTCAATTTGACAAACTTCTTAACCTCGATAAAAAATTACGAAAAAAATATAAATTATGCTTTTTTGTTCTAGAATGACTACAATTATAACATGAAAATATAACTGTTCAGTCTAAGTAGTTTAAATCCTCATAACATTATATATTTATTATTTTCAGTATATTGACCTTTCAGCCATGCCTAGCTAACTACAGAAGTTACAATGAAGCAGCTCACGTGCACTCGTATTACCATATCCAATGATATATAGCTGACCTTTAGTCTTTACAAAGTGATCTCTTCTAGTTACGACCTTTGTACTTGTTTGCCGCTTGTCAAAGGTTGCTAAGCCTTATGAAGTTTCCCACATGAAGGGTGTGAAAAGAAATTTTTGTATGTTTTATATATATATACATTTTAAGTAACCAAAAAATCATAAATTACTATGTCAATACCACAGAATTCAACTATAATTTGTCAAGCATAGTAACTAAGCTTATTTGGGTTATAAAAATATGAAATTTCAAAGTCACTAAAGACTTACCTTATCGTTTGAAATCTTGTATGAAACTAAGGAAATTAACACAATAACACATCAAAATGGCTGAGGAAACCACTAGGGGACATTCTGAGCTTATGATTGGTTATTCATGTCATAAATAGAAGTAAGTGTCTATAAGGGACCATTTCCAAAAATGAAAAGAGTTAGGGGGGGGGCACTGTGTTTGATTCAGTACATAAGTGGTATCTTAGCAAATAGAAATGATGAGAAGTTCTTATTTTAAATTCTAGCTTGTCAATATTGGTTGTTTGGGTTCCTAATTCGTACCAAACTGTAGATTTTGTATTTTGACATCACAAACATCTAATAATTGAACCAGTGCTGCATTCAACATAACATGTGACACACAAAAATCAATTTTTAGCTGTGTTTTTGTTAATATTTACTTTTAAATATAACTAATGTATAATACTAAAATTTGAATTATAATCTACAATTTGATACCAAACATAAATTCATAAAATAGTAGTTCAATAAAATTTTGAATGCAAGTCAACAAACATGATGACATGGCCTTTGATGCGTGACCTGTTGCAACAGGGTTGAATAACATTTAGTGTATTATTGTAAAAACCTGCTGATTATGTATTTCTATCATAAAATCTTAAATGTAATCAACAAAATGGCAAGAATGCTTTGTCTCATTCAGTTACATATAAAGAAGAGCTTAATAAGGATCATACCTTTTGGAAATATACAAAAGTAACAGCAAAAATTACTATAGCTATAGCACTTCATAGTAAACTATTTTAGGTTTTCATAGTACAATCTATTTTACTATGTTACCAATATTGGTATTTTTTCATCTTCAGTTAAACACACCCAAAAATCACAAATTTGACTATCACAAAGTACTAGAAACATTTCTAACAAAGAATGGATCTTCAAATAACTGTAGCTCAGTAGAATGCAATAATTTTAGATTGGATCTCCATGACAATGATCAGATCAGTATGCAAAAATCACCCATAATGTACAAACACTAAAAATAATTAATGGTTTTCAAGATACAAGCACCCCAATTTTTCATGAAAGTTGGATAACTGGTTTATCCCTTATTGATAAAAGTAGAAACATAAATGACATTGTACTGAACCACTCAACCCTTTTCATTATTTTGAAAGTTAAGGGACCTGTCTTTCAAAATGGATTATAGTTTTAGCAAAACTAATATACTATATTTTAGCTATTTGAGATGTTCTTTCGGATTTTGTGAAAATGCAAAGACTAGTTTAAACATTGGGTCTTACATATGTGCTATTTAAAGATAATTTATCCAGGTAGTTCCCCTATACAGCAACATTAATGGCAGTGAAACTTTTGTAATTTGGATGTTAGGCCTACATCAATACACTGCAGAAATATTACAATTTTTACAAGACTGAATAACACAGGATAGATTGTGAAAAGCTGAGTGTTTTCTGACCCTCCCAAAAAAATCATAAAAGGGTGGAAAGACAAAATATCAGACAATGTTCTTTTTGTAATTTAAAATGACAGAAACACACAGCTTCAATTTAGTATAATTGTTTATCTGATTTTTCACTTCATTAATTTACCTTAACAGGAAAGTAAGCTCACAGAAAATTGCATTTATCAAAATCATATATTTACATGATCCAGAATACTAAGGTTAATCAACATACATCAATAGTTATTTTATTCACATACTCCGATATCTAGTACAAAAACGATGAACAGTGAAATGTGCATTTTTAACAGTAAGCAAAATTAAAACACCATGTACAAAGAGGCCAAATAACATCATTTGGCAATGAAGCATAATCTATCATATTTTTATGAATGTTTTTACATCCACAGTCAAAATTATCATATAATAATCACTACTTCCAACTAAAAATATAGCTCTTAGTTTGCATGTAACAAAATACTGAATATGTCCATCTTGTTCAATAATTTTAACTCATAAGTTCTTATAACAATAAACAATAGTCTAGAAGAGTTGTTTTAAGAACCTTACAAAACCACGTGTATATATCAAATACATAATAATGCAAAGTATTTAAACAGCATAACTTCAATTTCAAATTGACTTATTATTTTCCATAGGTCTTATGCATGTTAAAAGTTACTCAACATTATTATTATTAGACCTGTGAACTTCAGTTCATAAATCATATGTTAAGATGTTGGCATTCACCATGGTAGAGTTGTCCAACAATGTGTAGTTAGTGCTTGGTGGAAAAACTAGTTTGAGAACAGCAAAAGTTTAAAAGTTATACATTTTGGCTAAGATGTTCAATGGTTCCTAAAACTGCCCCTCTAAATAGAAGCCCACAGAACTTATTCCTTATTATACTATATTTGACATCATCAGAAGGTTTGCCCTACAATTTTAAACCAAGTTAGAAAACTGCTTTATGTCTCATTTCCACATACAGACAAAAAATAATCTGAAAAGTAAATTTCAAGGGAATAATTGTATTGCAATATAATTCAACAAACAGAAAATGATCAATTCAATCAAGTCTTGGTGCCCCAAATATTGTTTTCAACTCATGTAAAGTTTCCTATTGGAGAAATAAAACTGTCTCAACTGAAGATGTATTTGACCTTTCCAAATATATATCGGAACCCACTTAATATCATGACTCATGAAAAGGATCATGTTATAATGGTGGATAATTCATTGAAACAGACACCTTTTGCTAGCATTACAGTAACACCGAATAGAATTTTGAAGTGTATTTATAGACACAGAAGTAATTGTATCTACAAATCACTAATTAGGCCTCACTTAAAATACTCTGTTTAGTCCTTATCTAAGAAAGGATATTTACATATTAGCAAGGAGATCTTATTTAAGTTAACAAGTTACTCAAAGAATTGACAGCTGTATTCTGAAGACAACAGAATAAGAGGACTCAAATTTAAGGTTTGAAAAATATATGTTATGCTCTAGATAATACAGTTACTTTTTCTAACATAGCTACTGGCTTATGGAATGAGCTGTAATCAATGGTAATGGGTTCCAGCACTTTACAAAATTTAAGAGAGGATATGATGTTATCCTGAAAAATAAAGGGTAGGTATACATTTTTATTTTCATAAGAATAGATCTGCAACAACAGTCTTGAAAATGATCCCTTGTTTTTTTGTACTACAAGTTATGATAAATTTTAAATATAATACCTCTTGTCCTAATACCCTCAGAATTAAACATAATAAATCTCAATGGCTCTATCTTATCAGTCCCCTTAATAAATCTGGATTTCCCAATAATATCAGCCTTGACCCTTCTTTAGTTAAGAGATCTCAAACTATTTCGTATGACCACCAATCTCTGGAATCATTATACTTTTATAGTAGCCCTCTTCCAAACCCTATGCAACATTTAAATTTTAAGACCTCACTGCCTAACTCAACTGTTAGTCTATAGTTTTGTTAAACCAACTACTAGTAAATAAGGGTTTTTGGTCAACTTGCTAAATTATCATCTTTTTTAATTACCCACTCAGGAGCATCTGACAAGGATAGCTGATTTTTTTTGCTAATTTAAAAGTTGTAAAATATTCCTTATAGGCCTTCCTAACATAAAACTCATCCCAATGATTCTTACATTTATGTTGATCATCTATTTTGATACTCTGTGAAGATGATGCATAAAAACTTGAAATCAAACAATAATTCTACACTTGTAATTGTAAGAGGGGGATCCATCACTCCTTCCCCCAATTCAACATAACATTATCTTACTTGTCAAACATTATAACTTACAACTTCACCTTTTATTAATATTTCTTCTAAACATGCAATTTTAAAATAATAAGCCATACTATGTTCATAGCTGCCTATCAGATGTCATTCAAAACCAGCATTATTTTATTGAGATAAATATATAATTTTTACCTGTTCTAAATGGCATACGAAAATCTTAAAAATACTTTAAGACCTGGTTTTGTAAATTTACAATGAAAGAGGTATAAATGCATATTTGATGTTAAGACAATTTGTTTTTCTACCTGTGTGACTATCTTACAGAATGAGTTGCCATCTGCAGTATTGTTGGAAGCACTCTTTATTAAAGATTTTTAATTGGAAACAAGCAATTTCCTGGAAAATAAAGTGTGGGTGTAAATTTTTACTTTCACAAGGGTTTGTGTGAAAAAACAACCTAAAAAAAACAATAGTTTAATAAGGTAAAGTATGCCATTAAAGAAGTATACATGCAAGTTTTGTTTTATGCTATATTCTGAAATGGATAACTTTTCACTCCTCACAAAGTCAAATGTGGGATGCTTGTTTATACTTTCAAGATGTTTGTGGTTTGGTCTTCATGGCAAATAATGGTAACACTTATGAAGATGATCAAGGTAAATAATTGTATAATATATCAGATATAAATTTCCTATGGCAAGGGCTATCTGGTTGTCAAGTGAAAGCATAAAACTGAAAGTAATTTTTACATTACAGCTTGTTTATACTTTCAAGATGTTTATGGTTTGATCTTCATGGCAACACTGACAAAGATGATCAATGTAAATAAATGTACAATACATTAGATATAAATTTCCTTTGGCAAGGGCTACCTGGATGTCAAGTGTAAGCAGAAAACTGAAAGTAATTTTTACATCACAGCTTCAGAAAGCTCAAGACATTTTTTTTTCTTTTTAACCGTTAAGTAACAAAACTAGTATACTAATATTTGAAGTTTCTTTAACTTTGAAGAATCCATAATGAACTATTTTTGACAATAATTAAGAAATAATGTGTATCAACAATAATATTAATAACATTATCACACTGAAGCTTGTGTTATTAATATTATTAATTATAATTTAATTACACCATTTTGTTTTGACCAAGTGAGAAATTTTTGATACGAATTATGATGGGCAATGTATATTTTATATCATATAAATGTAAATTATTTCACTCAGCTTACCTTTTTAACACCTTTATATACATAAACATACAGTTCTCTTCCAACATTGAAGCAAATATGATCACTACATCCTGTAGGCTGGTCGGGTAAGGTCACAAATGATACTTTTACGGGTGTGTTTGTCTGTGTGTTGTAGCCAACACGATTAGGCCTTGAATATTCGGAATGGGTCATCAGTTTGTACACTCCTTCACGTGTCATGAATTGTGTTTTTAGTTCGTCTTTTCCACCTCCGTCACACTGCACCGCCATTTTACAACCCAATTCTCAGGGAGGCGACCCAAGATCCCGGATATTCATCATGTCTGCTTCCAGCAGCCGGCTATACATATAATTCTTTTCTTATGTCATTATAATTGTGTAGAATAATGATCATCAAGTAAAAAGAAGAACAAAACTTTAAAAAAGTATGGGCAACCTGTATGCAATCACCTTTAAGAATGTTTCACACTTTTTACGAATCAAGCATGAACAACGCAAACGGCTTAAAATTATACAACCCTATAGCACCCAATGCTAGCCTAACTAATACGATCACAGTATTAGGCGAGCACAGCAAGCTTACCGTCGATACTTTAAAAACAGTCCCGCACCTTAGCCAATTTTAATATGTAACATACTGTAAAATTTTAGAAAACTTGTTTCAAGAAAGAGGTACAGTTTCATATCAACAGATTTATCTATCATCATTTGAACACAGTATAAATGTTTATTTGGAGGTATATATATATATGCACATATGGATATATATTTATATAAAAACATACATACGCGACTATTCAAGACGTCATTTCCGCATGTTTAGTTTGGAAAAATGTCTTAAAACATACAGTTATTTTATACTCGTATAATTTCATTTTGTCGGCTAACATTAGGTGACTGATTGAGGACATTCTAGAACTGATAATAAGTAAACTTCAACTAAATCATCAAATACTCTATATGAAAGCTAATTTTATACAAACAAAATTTCGGCGTAAGAATTTCCTATCTATATTTTGTCTATAATTACTGACATATATATATGTGTGTGAGTGTGTAAATTCATGATGTAAAAATGTATTAAAAGCAAAAGAGTTAAATGTCATAAAAAGAAACTCGTGAGCAAATTCTTTATTTGTCATTTCATCCTGGTAAAGAGAAAGTTCACTAAAGTTATTGGGTGTCATTTCTAATGCTTCTTTTAGTTCTTTTTCTGTTGATAATGCGCTTTGGAATAGCTTGAGTTGTTTATAAAAATAAATATCCTGAAGACGACTCAAAACTTCAAATGAGCAGTTGAAAACTCGTTCAATACATAACGAAAGGCCCCCCGTAGCACAGCGGTATGTCTGCGGCCTTACAACGCTAGAAACCGGGTTTCGATACCCGTGGTGAGCAGAGCACAGATAGCCCATTGTGTAGCTTTGTGCTTAACTTCATACAAACAACCATAACGAAAGATACGGAAGTCCTGAAACGCAAAGTGCAAAAAAATTAAGGTCTCATCTCGTACGTATTAGATATTAAGTTGTACAAACAAGATACTATTTAAATAAATACTGAAGGTAATAATCTCATACGGAAATCTTGAAAATATGGCCCAAATAAACTTTAATTTCTGATTTACGGGAAGTCTATCTTAATATAAAGTACTAAGTACATTTTCAGTGTTGGAAAAATGTTAGCTTTTGCATCTATTGCATTATTATAACATGATTTTAACCTTCCTGTTTTCATTCACAGTGTTTTGTTTTTAAGTTGTTTCTGTATGGTGTTGTGTATTCATCCTTTTAGGATTTTAATTGGACTGGTTGAAGAAATACTGAAAAATTGTATTTATTTCTTGTATTTTAAGAATATGTGAATTTATTAAACTTATGTCACCCTTCAGCATAGAACACATTCTATTGTGGACTCTTTTTTTATTATTATTACAAAGTCTACCATTTAGCAGTTTTTATTTAGATATTGGCCAATTCACTCTGGTTTTGACATACATACATATATGTGTAGTTGGACTATTTAAAACTGGAGAAATGTAATTCTAGGTTTTGGAAAACTTTGAATATCAATAAAGAAATGTTAGGTTTGCTGGCTGAAGTGAAGTTTAACACTAATTTGCAGAAGGAATGAAAATATTTTGTAAATGAAAGTTTTTTTTTGTTTTATTCATTGTAAAAGTTGATCTGAAAAAAAATGTTAGCAGAAGAATTCCACTAGTTAAACTTTCCAACAAAAACTTGCCTTTTTTATGTGCCTTCTAATGTAATACATAATTTATTTACAGTAATCAGTTGTGTGAGAGAAATAAATTTTATTAATTTTTATGTTAATATTAAGTAGTTTGTTCTTCAAGATTTCTGACAGCTTTTTAGTTCAGGTTACAACAAATAACTTTTATTGTATTTGTGGTTGAGTGATGCTATTTGCTCCACACATTTGTCACTTTTTTCGGAATTTGTGGAATACTTGGTCAGATGGAAGATATTTTGTCATGATGTCATTAGATTTTTCCATGGGCCTGTAATTGGATTGGTTTACTTGTTCATACATTGTATGTGTTTGATTTTGTTCACATCTTTATAGTTCCATCATTGTTCTGTGATTTTTCCTTCATGTTCCTATGAAGGTTATGCCCAATATAAGGTTTTGATTGATAACCAAATTCATCATAACTGTGAGCTGAAAAGTGACAATTTTGTACTTGAATTTTTAATATAAATATCTGCTTGATCGGAAACTTTGTGTTTAAAAATTCTCATGAGTAAACTTTGCTCCTTGTATAATGAGAGTACATTTCTTTATATTCCATTGAGCTCGATAGATACAGTCACTAATTTTCAAAAACAGGAAGTTACAGAGCAAAACTTGGATGTTTGAAAATACTGCTGTGTGCTAAATGTTGTAACCATGCAACCTTTACACAATGTATGTTTCAACCTTGTCACTCTGATTGGACATTTGGTTATTGTTTCATCTGTGTGAATGTGTGTTTACAATGTTGCTTGGACATGCCCAAGAAGTGTTATGAATGGTGCTGAGGTATTTGAATATTTTGAGGAGTTACAACAATAGCTGAACAAACATAAAATGTCTTGCTACAAAGATGGTAGAGATTGACTTTTGAAGTTCTCAAAAGGCAATTTAAATTTTTAAGCCCATTTCAAAATTTTATGTAGAAAAATAATATATATAATATAATAATAATTTATTACTATTTATATAATATACATATATATGTTTTGAGTGGCAATTGCCCGCTGGCAGTTGTCCTAGACTCAACAGACAGAGCCAAGAAGCTGGTGTTCAATAATGTAACATATTGACAGTAAAGAATTTCCAATTCACATTCAGATATCAGTTCATTACATAGCATTCATATTACTGTACATGATGTACCTTACAAATACAGTAATTAAAAATTTTAAAATGAATATTATAGATAGAATTTTGTAGTTTAATAAGAAATGAACAAGAAACATACAAAATTATTTGTGATCTTTAACATCTCTAAATTTTGTTCTTTATTAAGTTGTTTTATTTATTTTTTGTCAGGTATAAACTGTAACTTAATATTCAGCATGGTTGTTGCTTTTTCTCGTAGTGAATTGCTAACTTTGAAGGAACTGTTTGATTTTATGTACTAATCGATTTCATGTAATTGCCTTCCCCTAAGACAGTGTTTCTCTGTTTTTTCAATACCAGAGACGGGCTCGTTGTCTCCCTACACTGTCATAGACCACTAAAATGAAAGTATAATGAGAAACAGTAAAAACTTGTATATGAGTATTCAGTCAGTTTTTGTTTGTTCATTTGTTTTTGTGAAACCCCACATACTGGCATAGTGGTGGTGGACCAGTGGTTGAAAAACACTGCCCTAAGAAATATATCAAATTTATTTGCTACTGTATTTAGAGATCTCAGTTTAAAACTACATGTTATAACAAGTGAAACATTTTTTAATAGTTTTCTATACATAGATTTTGGTTGAACCTAGTGTTTTCTCTGGGTTTATATTTGAGTCACTAGTGTCTAATCTTTTCAAAAAATATTTGTCACTGAAGAAATTCAATAGTCACTACTTATGCAGAAAAGTGTTATGAATTCTATTTATATTCTTCCTATACCATAAATCATTGTACTGAACTAAATAATTATTTAGCCTACAAAATTCTTTCAAAATATATCTTACATTTCCTATTTCTAAATTTTAATTTACAGTGTAATATTTTCAGCTTTTGTTTCAACCTAAATTACTATGTTGTTGCTTATCTTCCTTTATTGTTGCCATGAAGGAGTCTTTAAGTTTTCTTGTACAGCCTTTACTGAGCCCTCAAAGTTTAACCATCAGTTATCAAACACTGCTTTGAACTTAGTATTGCCTTTAGTTAAAATTAATTTTTTTCTTGGAATTTGCATTCTCTTTGGATTGTTGCTGTAGTATCTATATGTTGATCCTCTTGAACACTTCTTGAAATGTATTGAGATAGTTTAGATAACCTACATTATACACCCAAACTAAACAGTGAGCAGTGAAATGTACAGCAAAAATGATGGGACACAAAGCCTTTAATTTTTGAACATTTTGTCTCCCTGTTATCACTGATGTCCCATTAATAGCTATAGACATATATTTTTTAAAGTTGAGTATTGTTCTTGTTAAACACTTCAACTTTATTCTGCACTAGCAGGTGTACCCATACTGTTTTCAAGAATTCTATCAATTTGAATCAGATTGGTGGGGTCCACCCCATACCCCTCATGATCTTCCTCGTCATCCTGTATCACTGTGTAAAGTGTGGTGCTGGTTGGTCAAGAAATGTGTAAGGAACAGTTACACACACATTGATGTTTATTTGTATAGATGTGTTCAGCTCTTTCATCACCTTCAAGGTTGCACACACACATAAGGAATTCACAGATGAAATTTCATTTTTCAGGCATTTGGAGAAAGTACTATCTTTTTTTTTTTTTCATTTGAACAGTGAATTGATTTATATATCACGATTCTCATATGTATAATTAGATCCAGCCAAGTCATCAATCAAATTTTTTTCAACAACTCTCACTAATGCCTATAGTACATCTAGAAAGCTGTCGTCATGGTTAGAGACTGGTTACAAAAAGACTGTAGATGTTCATAAACCATTCAGTATGTATGTATATATGTGTGTGTGTGTGTGTATGTATATATATATATATATATATATATGAGAAAAATATACTTTATCAAATTATGTTAGTTTAATGAAGAATCTTTAATTCTTCTCATGTTTACACCCATAACTTGATATATATTCTTAATCTAAACAACCCCAGTTAGGTTTAGGAAGAATAATAATACTGTAAAGTCACACTTTTTTAACATGCACACATATATATCATGTCCAGTGATTGAAATATTACATTCTCACATTCCCGAGGAATTTAACTTTGTTTGAGGAATTTCCTCTTTTTAGTTGGCCTTCCTGATTGGGAATGCATTGTCCATCCATATTCCTTTAGTTATGTTCAATGAAAGTGAACATATTGTATGAATTAAGTAAAAAAAAAAATTCTGAAGGAAATGCAAC